TACTTTTCCAACTAAGGCTGACAGTTTGAAGGGACCTTCAGTGAACTCGACAGTGTGAAGGGGACTATGTCCGGCGTCACTTCTGTGGAGAGAGTTCCCTTGTGACACGGTTTCTCCCAGACACAGGGGAGTTCTAGCGGAAACTAACGGCCACAGTCAGCTAAAGAGAGACCACAGCACAGCACAGCACGGGGAGACAACCCACTGGGCACAGACATCAATTCAATGTCTATTCCACATTGGTTCAACATAATTTCATTGAAATTACATGGAAAAAACGTTGATTCAACCAGTTTGTGCCCAGTGGGATGTGATGCTGAAGTAACACGGGCCAATAGAGTGCACTGTACCTGTCCTCTTCACCCTATCACTTTACCCCAACAAACCAGTAGGACCATATCAACAGACCTAGCTTCACCATACTAGAGATGTGATCGGATCAATTCACATAAATGAGTGATGATGCCTTACATGCACATTGCACCCAAGGGAGATCAACATCAATTTACAGCAGAAACAAGAAGAAATCAGAGAAGAAATCTATTGCCAGTTCACTATATTTATAGAGACAAACACCTAGATAGAAGGGGAAAACATATTTGAAAAGTAAATCAACAACTTGTGTTCAGTTGTCTCTTCTTTGGATACATTGTACACTATGAACGAACCACTTGCGGTCATCTCTTTGGAGTACAAGGGAGAGCTGCTGCACCTCACCCTTTGAACTTCCACTGGATCAATTTCAGTTCAGAACAGATAAAGTGAGACACTGATTACAGGAGTAGACTTGGCTGGGGAGAAGGATGCTCTGTCTCAGTCCACTATTGAATAAGGATGACAGCAGACATCACACACAACATATACGAAAGTCTAGTAGTTATGTTAAATAACTAGCACTCAATTGGATCAAACCAGAATTCAAAGTGACACTTCTCTGCAATACACAAACATGTGAGAGAGAATCCAGAGGGTGCAGGTTCATGTTGGGAATATTATATTCCACAAGCATTGGCCATTTCAACTTGTTCTGCACACACTTTGTTGTAATATAAAGATTACTTAAATATTAATCATTATCTTTGTATATAATTGTCGTCTACCCCCACCTAGTTCCCATCTATATATTCTGAAAACTTCTTATGAGGATAGACAGCTACAACGACAAGGCGGCCAGGGCGCGTCGTCACAGGGAATCGAGTGCTCTTCCTAATCGCGCGGATTATCCGCTGCAACCCTTTGCCGTCTGGACGGACCTTCGTTTCTATCTCAGACAAACACTGAATGTTCCACTACATGTTTCAGTCCGTATCCATGGCATTGGCAATAACAGATAATACAAATTTGGGCTCCCTGTCCGATGTTCCAAAAAACGCCCATCGTGTGCATATGAAAGCAATCAAAAGTGATTTTCGTGTGATATGGGAAAACATATTTAAAACAAAGTAATTCTAAATCATTGCTTTAGATTGTGCTGAAATGGAGGGGATTTACAGAGAGATTCAAATATATTTACATTTAAGTAATTTAGCAGACGCTCTTACCCAGAGCGACTTACAGTTAGTGAGTGTATACATTTTCATACTGGCCCCCGTGGGAAACGAACCCACAATCCTGGCGTTGCAAGCGCCATGCTCTACCAAGTGAGTTTACAGGGGACCATATTAAGGGAAGGATCAAACGTAAGCATGGCATGCGCTATTGGCGAGGTTGCATTTACTTATGATCACATTGATATAATAAAACATCTCATGTAAAAATGGTTGGGTAGGCCGATCTTATATTTGTTCAAATTAATGTCAATAGTGGTCAATTATTTTTTCCATAACATTTTTTTGTTGTCATGGCGTTAGACTGGGAGGGACAGTTTAATGTCACAAGTAGCTAGGCCTACAAACTTTTTAAAGTAATAAATAAATGTCTTACCTTCCATGCAAAATAAAACCAGCCAAGCAATCCATAGGTCCGAATTATGGAATTTCATCATGGTTCGTAACTACTTGGCAAGTAGTTTTGTGTGTCTTCTTGATTAAATAAATCGTTATTTCACTGTTTATTTGATGGAAAGTAACGGTCTCTCGAAACAGCATACATTAATACAGTCCCAATGGTTTACGCAATAATCAAATGCGTTTTATGTAGCAAAACAAAACAAAACAAAATCTAAAAGTAGAAAGAGTAACAAAAGGTTGCATCTCCTCATAGCCTACCACCACCCCAAACCGCTGCTGCTTCTTGGTCGTCCTTTTTTTGTCGTTGTTTCACTGTTGTTTTTTGTTGGTCGCACACGTACTATTTTGTCCACTGACAGCCCTTGATATTTTCCCTTTAATCAATTTACTCACGTTCTGAAAATTGTCGTCAGTCTTGTTGTAGCAGATACACATTCACAGAACACATGAAACAGTACAATTTCTTGGGGGGGGGTAGTTGTTTCTTCTTGTACAAGGCTGGCCCATGGTTCAACGCTAAACATGCACTCCTTTTCTGTACAGCATTCTATTTGGAACCTTGATCGAGAACTCGCCCGGGCTGTTGCCAGGAGACCAGTGACGCCAGTCTAGACTAGAGGTAGTAATGCCCCCCTCTGGTGACAAAAAAAAAGCAACTGTATGTGCTTGGTAGGCAACTGCATCCCGCATTGCACGGTTGAAGCCAGCGCCAATGCGTACGGATGTAATGCATTATGCATGTATACAATGCACGAGCGTGCGTGCTGAATAAAAGCTGATATCAAGTAAATAAAGGCTATGGACTTGCCAGGTTACCATTTATCTGGTTTATTGAAAGTTTTGGTTGATTGATTGCTGCAGCTTTCATGCACATCTTGAATCTGCAGAAGTGACAAGCTTTTCATAAAGTATAAACCTAATTCAATTTCAAAAATGTGTTTTCTGCATGCATGTAACAGCAAACCAACACAGTTTAGTTGTTCTTCAAGCCCACGACAGTGGTCTTTGTCACCACCGCCCATATTAGAGAGCCAGCAACACACAACAGCTCTCAAAGGGAGGCTACTGTCAATGTGTTCTCTTGAACAAAATGTGATCTCACCACAGCTCAGCACAAAATAATCCCTGTGTCTCACTAAACATTTCATGCATAGAGCCTGAGCACTTCTGGTCCAAATATAGATATACGTGTTTTTTTTGTTTGTTTTTTTATCTGTCAAGGCTATGTAGACAAACATTTGATGAAAACTTTCTCTTATTCAACTTTTTAGACTTGAGTAATTAAAAATGTATGAGAGAAGATGAAGGCGTGACAAGGGTCAACGCCTCAACCAGCTCTTCAGTACTGCCTGGGGTTGTTGACAGGGTTTCCAAAGAATCTGTCTGTCACTCCTGACTTAGGTACAAATATCTACTCCTTAGGTTGCCCGAGGCCATTCAGATTGTTATATTTCTGACATACTGTTGCCATTTTATAGAACCCCGGCATACAGTTGAAGTCGGAAGTTTACATACACTTAGGTTGGAGTCATTAAAAATCGTTTTTCAACCACTCCACAAATTTCTTGTTAACAAACTATAGTTTTGGCAAGTCGGTTAGGACATCTACTTTGTGCATGACACAAGTAATTTTTCCAACAATTGTTTACAGACAGAATATTTCACTTATAATTCACTGTATCACAATTCCAGTGGGTCAGAACTTTACATACACTAAGTTGACTGTGCCTTTAAACAGCTTGGAAAGTTCCATAAAATGATGTCATGGCTTTAGAAGCTTTTGATAGGCTAATTGACATAATTTGAGTCAATTGGTGGTGTACCTGTCGATGTATTTCAAGGCCTACCTTCAAACTCAGTGCCTCTTTGCTTGACATCATGAGAAAATCAAAAGAAAATCAGCCAAGACCTCAGATGAAAAATTGTAGACCTCTGGTTGATCCTTGGGAGCAATTTCCAAAAGCCTGAATGTACCACGTTCATCTGTACAAACAATAGTACGCAAGTATAAACACCATGGGACCACACAGCCGTCATACTGCTCAGGAAGGAGACGCGTTCTGTCTCCTAGAGATGAACGTACTTTGGTGCGAAAAGTGCAAATCAATCCCAGAACAACAGCAAAGGACCTTGTGAAGATGCTGAAGGAAACAGGTACAAAAGTATCTATATCCACAGTAAAACGAGTCCTATATCGACATAACCTGAAAGGCCGCTCAGCAAGGAAGAAGCCACTGCTCCAAAACCGCCATAAAAAAGCCAGACTACGGTTTGCAACTGCACATGGGGACAAAGATCGTACTTTTTGGAGAAATGTCCTCTGGTCTGATGAAACATAAATAGAACTGTTTGGCCATAATGACCATCGTTATGTTTGGAGGAAAAAGGGTTTGCTTGCAAGCTGAAGAACACCATCCCAACCGTGAAGCACGGGCGTGGCAGCATCATGCTGTGGAGGTGCTTTGCTGCAGGAGGGACTGGTGCAATTCTCAAAATAGATGGCATCATGAGGAAGGAAAATTATGTGGATATATTGAAGCAACATCTCAAGACATCAGTCAGGAAGTTAAAGCTTGGTCGCAAATGGTCTTCCAAATGGACAATGACCCCAAGCATACTTCCAAAGTTGTGGCAAAATGGCTTAAGGACAACAAAGTCAAGGTATTGGAGTGGCCATCACAAAGCCCTGACCTCAATCCTATAGAAAATGTGTGGTCAAGGCCTACAAACCTGCCTCAGTTACACCAGCTCTGTCAGGAGGAATGGGCCAAAATTCACCCAACTTATTGTGGGAAGCTTGTGGAAGGCTACCCAAAACATTTGACCCAAGTTAAACAATTTAAAGGCAATGCTACCAAATACTAATTGAGTGTATCTAAACTTCTGACCCACTGGGAATGTGATGAAAGAAATAAAAGCTGAAATAAATCATTCTCTCTACTATTATTCTGACATTTCACATTCTTAAAATAAAGTGGTGATCCTAACTGACCTAAGACACGGAATTTTTACTAGGATTAAATGTTGTGAAAAACTGAGTTTAAATGTATTTGGCTAAGGTGTATGTAAACTTCGACTTCAACTTTATGTTCCCAGATTTTATGATTACTGGATCTTAAAAGCACCCCTGGTCACTACCTTATGATTTGAGAAAGCGGTAAAACTTGAGTTATTCTTAAATACATTTGACACAAGTGTGACAATGTATACAGTAGCCTATACACTGTACATATGAACATACCCTTTTTTGTTTTTACTAGAAGCTACCGTCATGTTTATTTCATAAACCATGAAAGCATTAATGAAGTGACCCTACATTTCTGCTGATGAGTTCACTGGAAAGACAGGCTGTATATCTGTTCATCTCCCCTCTTATGCATCCCAACGGGGATACAGCCGAGTGTGAGAGAGGAGTTACCATAAAGCAATGATAGCATCCAAAAACGCTTGATTTATTATTGATACATTTTGCAATTGCTCTGTTTTCCTTTTCCGCCCGGTATAAAAGATTAAGAATGTGAACAAGATCCGAATGTTAAATGTTTGAATTCCTCTTTCCTGACAACCCCTGTTAGAGTTCACGTCCACTTCAATATTGATGCCATGTTAAGGAAACACTGCCTGGCTTTGCTGTGTCATGCATTTTGTGTACCCCAGTCTTGTCGTCTTGCGCAGCTTTGGTTTTCCTAGTTCGTTTTTGTAGAATGAATTTACTCCAGGCCAGTGCACCTGCTCACTAGGTCAATTCAGGTTAGACAAGGAATGGACTCCTATCTTCACTCTGCATAGTCGGAGTACAATACGTACGTACGGAAGTAACATGCATTGTAACTATGTTCCACTCCCAACACTATCCCGTTGAGAAAACCTTTGGGTAGGCCTATATGCTCTCCCCTTATGCTTTTTATTTCAAACTAAGAACATTTGAGCTCTCTCATAAATTGTGCTAAAATAAGAACAATTCAATCTTTTGAACTGGACTATGATCATAATTTAAAAAATAACATTATGTTTGCCAATCAATTGAACAAATCAATTGCATTCAATCTATTAAACAAACATTCAATGAAAAACACCTCCACCTTCTGGTGGACAGACTTTACGCTAGGGAGGAAAGATGTCTGCAAAAAGTCTGACATTCACCATATATCCTGGTGGTTGTGTTATTTAATGTTCTGTTGTAAAACCCCTACTTTACAGTCTGGCACATCAAAACATGTTCAGGAACAACAAGGAAACAGTACACAGTAAATATCATGCATCAACACTGCAGCACGAAACATTGACATGAGAGTTAACTGGCAGTAGCACTTCCTCACAGCACCAGAATCAGTGATGCTTCTTCTTGCCTTTATCCTAAAATGACAAAAGACATACATTTAATAAAAAGGTAAGCCATAAAACCCTAGTGATTATGACCATATCAAGGTGCCAGTATGAACCATTACCTGTACTAATAATAACTTGTTTTGGGTGAAATATGCAGTCATGTCATGGCAGGCCCTGATGTGACTGTAGGGCATACCTAGTAACTCAGAGCATTCATGTCCATTTCCTCTTTTACAATAGCCTAGTTTGCATAAAAGTAAGGCATGGCTGAGGTTATAAAAGGTCTGATGAGTCTTACCCATACCTATCAACAACAGATAGCTATTACAGTAAGGAATAGACTGAAATAGAGATCTGTTTCTAAAATGATGTTTTACTAGCTGATAAAAGTGCATGGAACCTCATGTGATAGTAAAAGTTCTGAGTCTCAAGTGTTGTAAATGGCAACACCAACCACGCCTACATAACTAGGGCATTTAGCCTGAAAACTGCCATAGCTGGTATGACCTGTTTTTTTCTGAAAAGAAAAGTGGTGTTGACAGCCTCTATGACCTTACCCATGTTGATAGTAAGGAACCGTTGAACTAAGGTGTGGTTGTCAACACGACTTGTGGGACCAGGTTCTATAGCAGTCATACATGACATTCTTTAGAACAATACTCGACCATAACAAAAAAACTGGACAAATCAAGGCTAATGTACACTACCTCATCGCTGCTGGACGAAGATGACCCATCATCTTTGTCCTTGTGCTTCTTGTCCTTCTTCTTATGCTCCTTGTCACCATGTTTCTTGTCCTTATGTTCCTTAGACTTGTCTTTGTCCTTCTTATGGTCCTTAGATTTGTCTTTGTCCTTGGATGCACTCTGAAAGTTGGTATACAGTCAGAATACTTTGTATGCATCAGCATTAATTGTGTACAAACTGCCGTTGGTGGCTGAAATACAATTCAAGCGCTCATCTAGCAACTGGGTTAGGTAATGGTAACAGTATGTTTCTTACCTTGTCCCCATCTTTGTCCTTCTTCCCCAATCCAAAGAGGGATTTCTGTTCCTGGCCAGAGGCATCATCCTTCTTCACCTCATCTTTTCCTACAGCTGTGGAAAATGAGACATCTAAATGAGACAGGCCATGTAGGCTTACAGTGATCCAAATAAACTACCTCAACCACTTCATTAAATTATACGTTTTATGATGGATAGCAATAATTAGTAGACTTAGTTGAGAAATTGAAAAAAGCCAATATGTCTTCTTCAACTAAAGGGCAAGCTTTTAAATATTGGCTAGTCGGACCATTACTACTGTTCCTGTTGGCTGATAGCCGTTGTTACTTAGGCAGTGTAAAGCATCGCAGAGAATTTGACAAACCTTAACTTGGCGACACTTCCTAAATTGGGTAGTAAAACAGTCGAAAATTCTGTGATATGCGTTACACTACCTAAATAAACGGATATCAGCCAGAAGGAACAATAATGGTCTGACTAGCCGATGTTTAAAAAAAGTTAAGCCTAACCTGTCCAGATTGTTAATCACGCAATTTATGTATCAAGTAATTTTGTGGCACATTTGACTTCTGCCAAAAATATGAAAATAGTCTCAACTAAGGCAGTCTTTGGAATAATTAAATGCAATACTTGACTGGTGTGAAGCGCGCCTGCAATCAGCTCAAATACTAGGAAAATAGTTGGCTTGCGTCTTAGACAAAGGTTTCCAAACTCGGTCCAAACTACACATCTGATTCAAATAATCAAAGCTTGATGATGAGTTGGTTATTTGAGTCAGTTGTGTCTAATACATTAATACATTGTGTCCTCTGTAGCTCAGCTGGTAGAGCACGGCGCATGTAACGCCAGGGTAGTGGGTTCGGTCCCCGGGACCACCCATACACAAAAAATGTATGCACGCATGACTGTAAGTCGCTTTGGATAAAAGCGTCTGCTAAATGGCATATTATTATTAATAAACAGAACAATTGAGATACACTGTAGCTAATTCAGATCACTGACAACATTTTAGATTAGAACGAGTCAAATGCAATTATGTTTCAAGAAATCAAGGCTTACCTCCACACAAATCAAAACTCATGTTGTCTTCAAAGTACACGGCCGTGATGCTGTGACCACCAGAGCAACAATTCTGTCCTTTAAAAACAGAACAGTCGAGCAACCGCACCTACCTGTTGACCTCACGCTGCAACCACGTGACCAAAACACGTTCGTGTTGTTCAGAAGGCATGAAACGGGAGCAAGGGTTTTCAAATGCGGGAGGGCCTATCAGATTTTTTTCAATAAGAATATTAATTTCGTTTTACGTTTCAAAAGGTTTCTTCCCCGTTTGTGAATGATTTGAGAGAGCCCATGATGGGCCAGTGTTAGCCCAAAGGCCGGCAGATGGCGATATTGAGTTGTTTCATCTTACTGCCCAAATGGAATGTATGCAGCCAGCAATAAATCAAATAACATTTTATTGGTCACGTACACATATTTAGGAGATGGTATTGCTCGTGTAGCTAAAAGCTTGTAAACACATAAAAAAACAAAATACTGCAAAGTTGCTTAGGAGATCGAAGCAAAGCTGCCATGTCTGTCGGCGCCATCTTACATATGCATCTTACACACAATTAATACTCCTATAACCCGGTGGACCGGTTCATACATAAAACATTCTGCATTCAGGCTGCAAAGGCGTCGGTTTCCTCCTAATGGCGAGTAGGCGGGGAAAATGTGAATACTTTCTTTATGAAAACCATTTTCCACCACCATGCTAGAGAGGCTAACACTAATCCCGGATGTTGCATACCTGCGTTCAGCCATTCAGGTTGCAGCAGTCTGTTTTTTTCACCCCTGGTCTGATAAACTGTTATTAATGTATCGGATTTGTTGGCATATACTCATTTACAGAACATTATTCACAGTTTTAATAAGAAAGATGAAACATTTAAGAAGTGAAATTATAATTTAAAATGAGATTGAGTAAAATACACTGCTCAAAAAAATTAAGGGAACACTAAAATAACACATCCTAGATCTGAATGAATGAAATAATCTTATTAAATACTTTTTTCTTTACATAGTTGAATGTGCTGACAACAAAATCACACAAAAATTATCAATGGAAATCAAATGTATCAACCCATGGAGGTCTGGATTTGGAGTCACCCTCAAAATTAAAGTGGAAAACCACACTACAGGCTGATCCAACTTTGATGTAATGTCCTTAAAACAAGTCAAAATGAGGCTCAGTAGTGTGTGTGGCCTCCACGTGCCTGTATGACATCCCTACAATGCCTGGGCATGCTCCTGATGAGGTGGTGGATGGTCTCCTGAGGGATCTCCTCCCAGACCTGGACTAAAGCATCCGCCAACTCCTGGACAGTCTGTGGTGCAACGTGGCGTTGGTGGATGGAGCGAGACATGATGTCCCAGATGTGATCAATTGGATTCAGGTCTGGGGAACGGGCGGGCCAGTCCATAGCATCAATGCCTTCCTCTTGCAGGAACTGCTGACACACTCCAGCCACATGAGGTCTAGCATTGTCTTGCATTAGGAGGTACCCAGGGCCAACCGCACCAGCATATGGTCTCACAGGGGGTCTGAGGATCTCATCTCGGTACCTAATGGCAGTCAGGCTACCTCTGGCGAGCACATGGAGGGCTGTGCGGCCCCCCAAAGAAATGCCACCCCACACCATGACTGACCCACCGCCAAACCGGTCATGCTGGAGGATGTTGCAGGCAGCAGAACGTTGTCCACGGCGTCTCCAGACTCTGTCACGTCTGTCACGTGCTCAGTGTGAACATGCTTTCATCTGTGAAGAGCACAGGGCGAGAGTGGCGAATTTGCCATTCTTGGTGTTCTCTGGCAAATGCCAAACGTCCTCCACGGTGTTGGGCTGTAAGCACAACCCCCACCTGTGGACGTCAGGCCCTCATACCACCCTCATGGAGTCTGTTTCTGACCGTTTGAGCAGACACATGCACATTTGTGGCCTGCTGGAGGTCATTTTGCAGGGCTCTGGCAGTGCTCCTCCTGCTCCTCCTTGCACAAAGGCGGAGGTAGCAGTCCTGCTGCTGGGTTGTTGCCCTCCTACGGCCTCCTCCACGTCTCCTGATGTACTGGCCTGTCTCCTGGTAGCGCCTCCATGCTCTGGACACTACGCTGACAGACACAGCAAACCTTCTTGCCACAGCTCGCATTGATGTGCCATCCTGGATGAGCTGCACTACCTGAGCCACTTGTGTGGGTTGTAGACTCCGTCTCATGCTACCACTAGAGTGAAAGCACCGCCAGCATTCAAAAGTGACCAAAACATCAGCCAGGAAGCATAGGAACTGAGAAGTGGTCTGTGGTCACCACCTGCAAAACCAGTCCTTTATTGGGGGTGTCTTGCTAATTGCCTATAATTTCCACCTGTTGTCTATTCCATTTGCACAACAGCATGTGAAATGTATTGTCAATCAGTGTTGCTTCCTAAGTGGACAGTTTGATTTCACAGAAGTGTGATTGACTTGGAGTTACATTGTGTTGTTTAAGTGTTCCCTTTATTTTTTTGAGCAGTGTACATCAATTTTTCACCCCAGATGCAATATGCAATTAATGTAATGATTGTTTTGTTTACAGGTTTAGTAAATTATATGTTCATAAACTTTTGCAATCGGAAAAGTGTAATTAATAGTAAATAAATAATGAATATCAATTAAACAAATTGGATCTGAATGCTCCAACTAATCACCCTATTTCTCTCTCTATGCCTGAGGACACCCTGGCCTGATGATTCCTGGCTGTGCCTGTCCCCAATCCACCTGGTCGTGCTGCCCATCCCGTGCAGTTGACTACCTGGCGTGGCCTGGACTGACTACCATGCCCCTTACCACCACACCCACATACCTTGACTTCCTAAAACATGAAAAGCCATCTGACCTTACAGTGTTTGCACCCTCTATTCATTAAGGGTTTTGGGCTGGATATCAGTAAAACACTTTGTGACAATTGCTGATGTAAAAAGGGCTTTACAAAATACATTTGATTGATTGAAGTGTGCTTTCTTCTATTTCATGATACATAATCAGATAAAATAAATCATTTCAATATGATAACTGTCGTATCGGATGAGTGGTGGCAATTATTGCTGATGAACAAAAGGAGTCTGCTCATACTGAACGTTGATCATAAGGTTTATTCAGATCAGAAGCTTCAGCATGAGTGACAGGTGACATGACACCCGGAGAGCGACGCCTCAGAATGGCTGCTCGTTCTGCCCTCTCCCTCGTTTTCCCCCCTATTTATAACAATGATGCTCCCTCTTCTGGCCAATCACCAGTCTCCCCTGGGGCGTCACCCTAAAACATTCCCTTTTGATACTAACATAAACAACATTCATTGTTCCTCCAAAACAGTCATAATGTTAATACACCACATAACATAGACCATTGGTGCCCAGGACGTCGATCGCAAACTTCTTTCTAGTAGACCGCATAAAAGTTTTCAAAATGTATGCACTAAAAATATATATTTTGGCAATTCACAGCGTTACCATCGAGTCTGCTTAAAAATAATGAGGTCCACAGTTCTGAAGCACCGTATGCCTTGCTTACAGGTTAGCTTCTTGGTCGAATATTACTGCACAGCCAACATATTTTTAAAAACTGCTTGATTGACATAAAATTGGACCAACCCGCAGCACTATAGTTGCTTCACTTGTTTTCCATACTGTCGCTACCATAGCAACGGTCTAAAGTTAGTATGTTTACATTTCCACGCTTGAGGGAGCTGTAACCGACCTGTAACCGAATATTCTTTGTTGTACCAGCGGTAGTTGTTTTTTTTACAACGTTTTTTTTCTACGAAGTTGCAGTTACGTTTTTAATATGAGTGCTGGACCAAGCACCAAGAAACCGAAAATCTACCACTTTCACAGTTAGTGGGAGGAAGATTATGGATCTACCAACCGTTGCGAGTCAGTATTTTGAGACTTGAGGATCATCAAATCAAAATACCGGTCCACTCTAACAGATGATCACCTGGACACCTGCTTGAGGTTAGCGTCAGTAGCTACAACCCAGACAATGCGAAGCTTGCGGACAGCATGCAGCGCAAATCATCCTATCAATAAAGTGAAATGTTATTTAATATTGGCGGGGGGAGGGGTAGACCGCGTTAGGAAGAGGGTGGAAAAAGTAGATCCTATGTAAATAAAGTCTGGGCACCCCTGACATAGACAATAATCTGGACTGTGCACCATTTTGGAGGGGCCAAAGTATACTGCTCTTGGTGAGGAAATTGTGATGATGATGACTCTGGGTGATATGGTATATGATATTACACACACACACACACACAGTGCATTCGGAAAGTATTCAGACCCCTTCCCTTTTTCCACATTTTGTTACATTACAACCTTATTCTAAAATGGATAAAAAATAAAAATAAAATATAAAAAAAATATATATATATATATATATATATATATATATATATATATATCCTCATCAATCTACACACAATACCCCATAATGACAAAGCGAAAACAGTTTTGACATTTTTGCAAATGTATAAAAAACAGAAATACCTTATTTACATAAGTATTCAGACCCTTTGCTATGAGACTCAAAATTGAGCTCCGGTGCATCCTGTTTCCGTTGGCATCCTGTTTCCGTTGATCATCCTTGAGATGTTGATTGGAGTCCACCTGTGGTAAATTCAATTGATTGGACATGATTTGGAAAGGCACACACCTGTCTATATAAGGTCCCACAGTTGACAGTTTATGTCAGAGCAAAAACCAAGCCATGAGTTGGACTCCAATCAAGTTGTAGAAACAGCTCAAGGATGATCAATGGAAACAGGATGCACCTGAGCTCAATTTCGAGTCTCATAGCAAATGGTCTGAATATTTATGTAAATAAGGTATTTCTGTTTTTTATTTCCTATAAATTTGCAAAAATTACTAAAAAACCTGTTTTCACTTTGTCATTATGGGGTATTGTGCGTAGATTGATGAGAGAAAAAACAATTTAATCAATTTTAGAATAGAGTAAGGCTGCAACGTAACAAAATGTGGAAAAGGGGAAGGGGTCTGAATACTTTCAGAATGCGCTGTATATTCTTCCTAAATCTGATGCTCCTGACGCTACTCAGGAAATCCTGGATCGTCGTATGGGGTTGGGATTCTCTGTGGCACTGTTCACTGCAAACAGGACACATAAGTTCGTCCAAGGGAGCATTGGAGTACAATTATGGAAACAGGGATGCACCCACAAGGTACGATCATGATTATTTACATATCTGCATTGGTCATTTCGATCAACTGGCGCCTTTACCATTTCTAAGTAGGTGATGCTTACTTTTGCCATTTCAGGT